GCCCTCGAGGCCAGACGATCAGGGAGGGGCGGGGGGCGGCGTGCCGGGCCCCAGCCGGGGCTCCTGCTTGCGGAGGGGAGGCGGCGGCAGCGAGCGGGCGGGCGGTTCAGCTCCCTCACTCGCGCTCCGCGCTCCAGCTCGCTGCTCTCTCTCCCCGAGCCGCCTCCTCCTCCACCTCCTCCTCACGGCGAGGGGCGAGCCACAAGGCGCAGGCGCGCAGGGCCCGCGCGCACGCCCCGCCCCTGGCCGGAGAGGCTCGCGCCGTCTCGCCATTGGCTAGGGCGCCGGGACGAGGGGGCGGAGCCGCGGCGAGGAGACACAGGGCCTGGCGAAGAGGCGGGAGGAAGGAACGCCGCGACGTACGGGCCGGCCCCCCGCGCCGCGCTCCCCTCCCCCCCTTCCCCTTCTCCAGCCCGACCCGGGACATTGGCGCGCGGCGGGCGCGCAGCAGTCGGGGGGCGGGGCCCCGCAAGGCTGCGCACGGCTCCTCCCGACCCCCGGCCGCTCGCGCGTCACGTGGCGGCAGAGCGGCTTTCCTTCTCCGCCTGGCGGCGCGGGGAGTCCGAGAGGGGTGCTTGTGGCCCCCAGCAGTGCAGGCCTCAGTTGCCCGCCCTCGCATCCGGGCGCCTCCCTCTTCACGGGAGAAAGACGGCGGCGCTACCATTCTCTGCTAGTCGTGGAAGCCACCGTCCGCGCTGAGGCTGAGGCCGCTCTGCAAAGCCCGAAGACGCGCGCCCGCCCGGCGGGGCCACAGCCGGGTATAACCCGGCTTCGGAGGCGCCTGGGGACCCTTGGGCAAGTCACCTTTCCCCTGTGGACCCGCCCCTGTTGGGCAATTACAGGCGCTCGGTGCTCCAACAAGTCCTCCCGAAGTGGAAGTCCCCTGCAGGCAGGCGGGCACCACGCCCACCCGCAGGTCCTTCGGGCCCAACTCGGGGCGCCCGCTCGCTCACAGAACGCAACCCCGAGGGCTGGGGCTGTAGCTCAGCCGCACACACCAACTGCCTGGCAAGCCCAGAGTCCTGAGTTTAGTTCTCAGTGCAAAAAAAGCAACCCCGAGCGCCTGGCAGTCTAGGCGTCCCGGCGTCGGTGCCGGGGTCGCACAAGAGCTCTCAGGGATGCACGTGGCGAGCCCGGGGAATTCGAGATTAGGAAGCATGCTTCAGAGGCCAAGCCCTGAAACTCCCGAGTAGGGCCAGAGCATTGGCTTAGATAATGCTTTCCAGGAAATAGAGATGCGCCAGGCCCTACCCTTTCCTACAGGACCAAGCCTCCATCTCCCTCGGGTGTTTGTAACCAGCGCTTGGGGCTGTGCTATTCACCTGCCTGCACTCAAGTTTTACTATATAGGGGCGTGCCGTGGTCGGTGATCGATACACGTTAAGTGGCTCACAGTTCTCACAGTAGAGAATACAAAGGTCTTCTCAGAGGTCTCCAAACCCAGAAATTCATTTGATCTTTTCCTCTAAACCTCAATCTCAGTTGAGTGCTGCCGGTTCTTATCTTTACCAACTGGACAAGCTAGTCTCAAGAATTATTAACATCAGCTAATGTTTGACAAAGAGCTGGAAGGGGGAATAAACCCCCAACTTGTGGGGTTTCAGTGATGTTCACCAGACAAGTGCTACGATGTCACCCAATCGAATGGCAAAATCTCCTAACCAGCGCATGTGTGCAGCCACAGCCTCTACTCTGCCACGGCTGTGGTTACCACTGACACGCCTCACTTAATCCTTGCAAAAGAGCAGGTGACTTTTAATGTTTTCATTTTACTTCATCCCTAGTACTAAACGAACTGTCTACAAATGGCAGAACCAATATTCTAATGCACTTGGCAGATGACAACCGCTGCCCTAAAGCAGTGGTTTAATTTTTTGACACAGGGCCTTGTTACATAGCTCAGGCTGGCCTTGAACTCAGTATGTATCCTAGGCTGATCTATAACTCAGCAGTCCTGCCTCAGCCTCCCAAGTCTGGATCACAAGCGTGCACCATTCATTACATTGGGCTTAGCAATTTTTATATGAATTTACTTATTTTGCAGTACTAGGGGATTAAATCCAGGGCTTCCTACATGCTAGGTAAGCTCTCTACTAATGTATCACACTATTAGCTCCTTTTTAAAAAAAATGTGGCCTACAGGGGGCCTGCCCCTTAGCTCAGTTCTTTAAGTGGCTGCTTCAACAAAGCCGTCAGGCTCAGGTTGCTGTGGTTCGATCCCCACAACTCAAGCCAGCCAGTCATGCCTTGAAGGCATTCGGAGAAAAAAAAATGTGGCCTACAGTACTGCATACATCTAGTAGGACATGGCGGTGCATGGCTGTAACTCCAGCAGCATACAAGAGGTTGAGGTAGGAGGATGGTTAAAATTCAAGGCCAGGGCTGGAGAGATAGCTCAGTAGAATAAGCACCTGCCTGGCAAGCACAGGGTCCTGAATTCAATCCCCATCAGAGTTCAATCCCCGGTACCAAAAAAATAAATAAATAAGTAAATAAATAAAAAAAATAAAATTCAAGGCCAAAGGGTGGCCAAATAGTTCAGCGGATTAAAGCGCTTGCAAACAGGGGCAGGGATTGATTCCCAGTCCTACAGTGCTGAGCCTGGGCCCCCGGGGCCTGGGGCATGCTGAGACTGCCAATGAGACTGGGCGTGGTGGTGTGCACCTGTAATCCCAGCTCTTGGGAGGCTGTAAACAGGCGGA